ATGGCGCAGCTGACAACAGTGGAAATGAAACCAGGAGAAAAAGGGTTGGCGTATATCAGCCGATGTCGCGAATTGCGCGACAAGCTTCTTCGATGTGGAGGGTCAATCTCTGAAGACGCCTTCGTAACAGTCGTCATCGGCGGCCTCGGTCCTCAGTGGCGCGCCACCAAAGCAATTCTTCGAGCACACGGGAGGATCTCCGAAGCGGCACTTTGCGCAGAAATTCACGCAGAACAGCAGGATATGGACCTGCAAGAAGAAAGACACAAGAAAAGGACATTAGCACCGGAGTTTGCTTTCCATACTCAGCGACGACACAACTATTACAACAATCGACAGCAGCAGCCAAAGTTAGTACCTCCATTTTGTCACATCTGCAAGACATCAGGACACCCACGCACGCACTGCCCGTCTCGACAGACAACACCACAGCGACAACTGCGGCCTTCAAGCACCCAAGTTGCTTCGACACAAGCAAGTTCGACAGCCACGATTCAAGCTTCAACGACCTCAACTGGACAACCTGCACAAGGAGCAAGACATATAGTCAACTGCATGGTCAAGATAAACGACTCTTGCATAACAGAGTCACCACCCCATCACTCACCGGAAGAGGAGCTCGACAACAGGACGCCTCGTCGCGAATCACTCCATCCAAATCCGACTTACGCCGCTATCGCTCAAAGTGAACCGTCCGGTCAAGACACCTGGTTCTTGGACAGTTGCTGCGGGCAACACATGTGCTCGTCCGGGCGTTTCGTACAACGCGAACATCGACTCCAACGGGAAGTGATCATCACGGTTGCCAACAACCAAAACCTGCGCACACGAAGACAAGGAGTGGTACAGCTTCAGTCAAGAGAAACAAATGTCATACTGCACATGTCTAAGGTACTCATCGCTGAAGGACTCGGCTACAACTTACTGAGCGTTAGCCAGTTGATGGCGAAAGGAATTCATCTGGAAGCCGACAGCACGACTCAGGAGTTCAAGCTTTACCACGGAAGAGGCGGTCTCTACATCGGGAAAGCAGTGCTGAAGAACAACGTCTTCGTCCTCGACTTCGCTCCCGACCTCGGCACTGCAGACAGCGACGCCATTGTGAACTTTGCTGAATGGACACACCCTCCGGATCTCGACCCCGATTTCAGCCCGGGAGGTTTCTGGTACTCCCACACTATTCCTGAAGCAGAACGAACAAGAGCGTTAGCAACGATTCAACAAGAAGCAGCAACAACAACATCGACAGCAGCAACAACATCGGCAGCAGCAACAACATCGACAGCAGCAACAACATCGGCAGCAGCAACAACATCAGCAGCAGCAGGAACAACGACACCAGTCACAGTCGACGAAGCACCACCAACACCCGCGCAACAGCTGAATCCGACTCAGCGTGAAGTCCACCGAAGCGCCAACCTCGTCGCCAGCTTTTACTCCAACTCCGACGCATATCAGCGTTCACCCGGACACCGCGCCTCTGAAGAGATCTGGCACGCACGCACAGGACATCCAAGCAACACGGTTTTGAATAACACGATAAGAGCAGGAGTCCTCGACAAAGACTCTCTACTTCTACCCGATGGTAGAGAACTCCAGAAGGCACGAGGGACTTGCCTTATATGTCCCGAAACTGACTTACCTCATCGACCGTTTGCTTCACATCACAACCCGAGCGCTCCAGCGTACGCACCACTCGAAAAAGTATACAGCGACATCCTTTACAATGGCGAACCAGGACAAGTCAACTACAACTACACCATCACCTTCATCGACGCTGCTACTCGATACGTCTGGCATCGCAACCTACCCAGCCGCGACATGGCGCTCACAGCATTCGCCGCCTGGCTACCGATAGCAGAGAGAGAGTCTGGAACACAACTGAAAAATTTCCAGTCAGACGGAGGTGGCGAGTACACCTCTCAGCGCTTCAAGCAGTTCTTGGCGGAAAGGGGGATCAAGCAACTCCTCTCCCTTCCCTACGCACATCAGCAGCAAGGTGTTGCAGAACGACTGAACAGGACCCTGCAGAACAGCATGCGCAAACTGTCACGTGGCATGCGGCTACCCAACCACCAGTGGCCAGCAGCAATGGACCACGCTGTCATGCTGCACAACTTGTTGTCGTCGTCGTCACTCCCGAACAACGCATCACCGCATCTGCTGTGGACAGGGAAGCAGGGCAGCACGAAAATGTTACGAGTTTTCGGGTGCATGGTACAGTACAGACCCCCAGAAGCACGAGCGGGAAGATTTTCGCAACGGGCACAGTGGGGACTACACCTCGGCATCGAGAAAAATTACAACGCATGGAAAATCTTCGACGTCCACACAAAGGAAACAGTAGCAGCACGTGACGTGATCTTCTACGAAAGACTCACCCTTCAGACGTACCTCGCCAACTTGCACGAGAATCGGGACCTCACCAGTGGTTTTCGTGGTGACCGAGCCTTCGCGTCAGCAGCGGACGAAGCAGACTGGGATGAACAGAACGTCGACAACGCCTCGGAAGAAGCCGGACCTCTCCCATACTGCTCCGTCGACGTGCCCATGGATGAGGATAATCCTCGCGACAGTAACAACGCCGGAATCTTCTACCGTTTCGCCGACGATGGTTACATAACACCTGTGACAGTCAACACCAACGAAGCAGAAAGGGTAGGGCCAAATTTCATGCCCGACCCAGAAACGGGAGACGAAGCAGCTTATCCCGAGGATCCAGAACTCCCTCGATACTCACAGACTGGGCTGCAAATCCTTGGTCTCGTCACCGCAGTCCATGGCGCCGGCATTCCTAAGGAGCCTGCGACGGTTCAGCAGGCTCTGGGGGGGGAACACAGGGAGAAATGGCGTGAAGCTATGGACAAAGAGCTGAAGGCACTGGAGGAGCGCAACACATGGAAAATTGTTCCCATCGGCGTAACTCAAAATAAAAACATTCTTACCGGGAAATGGGTCTTCCGTGTGAAGACGAAAGCTGATGGCACCATCGACAAATTCAAAGCCCGCTGGGTCGTACGTGGCTTCGACCAGGAGCACGGAAGAGATTACACCGAAACCTTCGCTCCGGTCAGTCGCCACACCTCACTCCGAATCCTCATCGCCGTCGCCGCCATGAAGAAAAAGAAATTGCGACAGATCGACGTTGCGAACGCATTTCTCTACGCACCTGTGGATGCAGAAATCTTCGTTGAACTCCCGCACGGCTCCCACGGCGAACCCAACCGAGTGTGTCAACTACTCAAATCACTCTATGGGATCAAGCAGGCACCGCGACTGTGGCAGCAGTACCTACACGCCCGCCTCATCCGCATCGGCTTCAAACAACTCCCGCATGACCAGGGCATGTATCGCCTCACAAAAGGAGGCGATTACGTCCTATTAATCGTCTATGTGGACGATCTTCTCTACATTGGGTCAACCGACAACATAGCCGCGTGGTTCGAAGGGGAGCTCCAGAAAGACCTCACGCTCACGGTCTCTCCTACGGTTACGCAATACCTCGGGCTCAACATCCGTGAGGAAGAAAACGCAATCTACCTAAGCGCCGAGAAGTACGCCGACACTATCGCGAAACGCTTTCGTCTCACACCAAGCGCCATCTCCACGCCTTATCGCTACGCGTCAGGAACCGAAAAGGGGCAATCTACGCTACTTAAACCCGCCGGCATACGCGACTATCAGAAGAAGCTAGGATGCCTTCTTTTCGCAGCAGTCACGTGCCGTCCCGACCTATCCTACTCCGCGAGTCAGCTCGCTACCTATCTCAAGAGACCTGAAGCAGAGCATCTGGCGGAACTCGATCGTGCTCTCCACTACTTCGTCAGCACCGCGACGATCGGACTAACTTATCACAAAAACGTGACTACACCGACCAAACTAATCAGCTACGTCGACGCCGATCACGCCGGCGACACCGACAACAGGCGCTCACGCACCGGCTATGTCTACCGCCTTGAGCCTATCGGTCCTATCTCCTGGCAGTCAAGCAAGCAGGAGTTAATCGCACTATCTTCAGCAGAAGCAGAATATATCGCACTCTGCTCAGCCACCAAGGAGGGACTTTACCTTCGCGAACTACTGGAAGAAGCGAAACTAGCCGAGTTACCCAGCTTCACCGTATTCTGCGACAACCAGTCGGCAATTCGCATCGCCAACAAAAACGGCTTCGCAAACAGGACGAAACACATCGCCCTGCGCTATTTCTTCGTGAAGGACGAGATAGAAAAAGGGAAACTCGATCTGTCATACTGCCCAACATCCGAGATGGCAGCCGATTACTTGACCAAGAAACTCAGAAAGCAGAAGTTCGAATACTGCATGATGCTGACTGGACAAGGCCACGTCACCAGCAGCGACACTCCAGAAGCGAAGGGGAGTGTTGGAAACAATAATTCCTAAATGCGCTTCTGTCGTATCAAAACCCAAGGCACCAAGCGAAGCAGTCCCAATCGAAGCATCGAGTCAACCTCGGAGGTTAGGGTAACCGCCTGGAGGTTACGAGAAAGTCAAAGGTCGCTGACCTTTGACTCGACAATCACAGCGCGACAGTTAAGGACACACAACTGACTCGTTACAGAGCAGTTGCCCGAGTCGCACTGTATCGAACCGCAACAGCAATACAGTTATCTACCTATCTGTTCGTATTCCCTGTACTCTTATATAAATCCTTGTATTTGCTTGTTTAAATTAATCTACTTTGCTCTCACACACCAGTGCAAGGTCGGTTCACAATCCTCATTAAACGCTTCCGCTATTACAAGTTTCTACCCAAGAGTTCTCCTCTGCAAAGATCCTAAGGGCTAATTTTCAACCCAACAGAAATCAGGAATGGACCTTGCCAATGTAGCAAGCCACATACATAACACTCCCTAATTCTACATCCAGGATAGAGTAACACCTCGAAGGTTCAACTGAGCTCGCCAGGCAGGCAGCATGAAAGCCTGAACACAAGGCTGCATGCCAGTCTGTTTGCCAGCCTGCATGCCAGCGACCACGCTCTAGAAGCCAGGCAGCACAGTGAGGTCAGCAATGCCTTCCGGCAGTCTTGCAATCCTGCTGAGCAGCCCCAAGCGGTTCTTACGCAACTGCTCCTCCTCCTGCAGCACCCCCCATGCCACACAACCAGGTGCAATTCAATGATCGTGTCAAAACCACAATACCAAGTCGAGATGCGAGCGATCACAGAAGTTCACACCAGGGCAAGAGTCAGCACATAGGTAGAGACAGACGGACATGTATCAACATCAGCAACACAAGCATGATGGAGAGGATTGTGCTGTGGAGTTGTGGGACTTCGGGTTCAGGTGTGTTGGGGGGGGTGTGCGTTGAGGGGTTTGGGGTTTGGAGTGTGTTGGGGGAGTGTGAAGTGCGGTGTTGGAAATAGATATGCATGCCGTGTGGCTGGCTGGCTGGATGGCTGGTTGGTTGGTGGGCTTACCGCCATGACGAACACATTGGCAAAGAAGCCTTCAAGAGGGTCGACGAGAGCCATGGATGCATCGGCGAACGCCTTGATGCTCATGTCTGCACGCATGCATGCCGTGTTGGGAGGGCGCAACGGGGGGAAAGAGAGGGCACATAAAATATATTTCCATTGCACGTGTTGAGGATGTTGATATGCCTGCTTTCAAGAGACGGCCAATGATAGGGTGAATGGTGAGGCAGTGGTGTATGCTGTGGTGATTGAAAACGGTAATGCCTCGATCAACTTACCGGTAGAGATGCGCCAATATGTGACTGAATGCAATATGACTGTAACATGAATGTAAGTGGATGCAAACTGATGTGATACATGACATGTGGCACGATGTGAGAAGATGCATTGAGTGTGCCATGGGCACAGAAAGAAGAAGGAAGCACGCACCAGTGGAGACCTCAGCATCCACGTGCTTGAAGGCGTCCCACAGAGTCCTCTCCGCATCCGACTCAAACAGCTTCTCCCTCACCTGCACACAGGCTCCCCCATACACACACACAATCAAGAGAGCCCCACATCATGTTCCACACACACAGGCACTCCTCAGGGTCATCATGCGCCACAAAAGTATGCCAGGTTGCTAGAGCATGCCGGACAGAGCATGCAGGACAGAGCATGCCGGACAGAGCATGCAGGACAGAGCATGCCGGACAGCATGCCGGACAGAGCATGCCGGACAGAGCATGCCGGACAGAGCATGCCGGACAGAGCATGCCGGACAGAGCATGCCGGACAGAGCATGCACATGCGAGGCCACAAGGGTAAAGCTTGCATAACGAGAGCTCACCTGCCAGTCCAGGTCCACGTCCTTGCCGCGCACGATCCTCGTTGGCCGCGCATACGCTGCCACAATCTTTTCAAGCTGCCCTGACGCCTGTAGCTCCTCCATCTGGTATCAGGGCAGGCAGCGGGGCAGACAGCACGGTTACAGGTTGTCAGCCGAGACAAAAAGTGAGTGCTCTGGCACTCTCAGCTCCTTGCTGCATCATGAGGAGAGTCCGGATCGTTCTTCCATCTCTTTATCTCTCAGTGCCAGTGTTGGCATGGAGGCCCTCTGTATTGTGTGACCGTGTCACACAATGTCAAATGTCAGAACGTCACATCACAGCAGAGAGGATTCGCGTGCCACAGGGCGCCACCACTCACCTCCGCCACGGATCGTGCACCCAAGGCCGGCACAGAGCCTCTCTCCTCCAGCACACTGCGCACCGCCTCCACTGCCGCCCCACGGTCCACGAGGAACTGCTCCAGGCGGCGCACTATGAAGGACTCCACCTGCTTTTCAAAGGGTGGTGCCGTTTGTGTGGGGGGTGAGCAGGGGCGAGAAAGTCTGAGTTTGGAAGGGATTTTGAGGCGCCTCTACCACTGCCTCCACGGCCGCCCCGCGGTCCACGAGGAACTGCTCCAGGCGGCGCACTATGAAAGATTCCACCTGCAACCCAGGAAGGGATTTTGAGGCGCCCCATGCACCGCCTCCACTGCAGCCCCACGGTCCACCAGGAAGGGGTGGGGGGTGCTGTTGGGCATCAACACTTGCCAACCACCACACCACCTCACCTGCTCCAGTGTGGCGGGAATGACCTACACGGGATGCATGGACGCTGGTGCCTGCAGGGATGCTGCTGGGTGCTGATGGGAATCAGCCATTCTCAGGCACCACCTCACCTGCTCCAGTGTGGCGGGAGTGACCTCCACAGGCTGTACGGACGCTGCTGAGGGCTAGGGAGAACTCGCAACGACCAACTCACCTGCTCGAGCGTTGCCGGGCCGGGGGCTGCATAAATGCTGCACAGTACTGATGCAGAGTACTGATGCAGAGTACTGATGCAGAGTACTGATGCATTGCCGATTCTCAACCACCACCTCACCTGCTCCAGTGTGGCGGGGGTGACTGCACGGGCTGCACGGGCGCAGCTGCCTGCAGGGCTGTGGAGAGATGCAGATGGGAATGCACACATGCTGGCAAACAGCTCACCTGCTCCAGTGTGGCGGGAGTGACCTCAACAGGCTGCACGGATGCTGCTGCCTGCAGGGCCGTGGAGAGATGCAGATCAGTGTTGCTTGCTACCAGTGCCTCCACCTGCCAGTTAGCATGGATGCAATGTGGTGAAGGCCGGCGAATGAAAGGAGGTGAAACAGCGCAAGGGTGAGCCCAAGAGCCATATGATGGAGCATGGCAAGGCAAACCAGCAGGGGAGTGCAGGGGGGGAGTCGGGTTGGGGAAGGGATGAGGGCATGGGTGAGTTGGGGAAGTGGCAGCTCACAAGGCCGTATGCGGAGCGGCGGAGACCAAAGGGGTCGGCCGAGGCAGAGGGCTCACAGCCGATTGCAAAGAGCCCCACGAGACTGTCAAGCCTGATGGGCAAGCGGCATGGGAGGGAGCAGGGTGCAGAATGTAAGTATTTGTGTGACGGGCACTGAAGGACTCACAGCCAATGGCAAAGAGCCCCACATGTCTGTCAGATAATGGTGAAGGTAATGGTAATGGTAATGGAAATGGAAATGGTAATGGTGATGGTAATGGTAATGGTAATGGAAATGGAAATGGTAATGGAAATGGTAATGGTAATGGAAATGAAAATGGTAACGGTAATGGTAATGGTAATAGTAATGGTAAAGGTAATGGTAATGGTAATGGAAATGGAAATGGAACTGGTAATGGAAATGGTAACGGTAAAGGTAATGGTAATGGTAATGGTAATGGTAATGGTAATAGAAATGGAAATGGTAATAGAAATGGAAATGGAAATGGTAATGGAAATGGTAATGGAAATGGTAATGATAATGGAAATGGGAATGGAAATGGTAATGGTATGGTAATGGTAATGGTAATGGTAATGGTAAAAGTAATGGTATTAGTAATGGAAATGGTAATGGTAATGATAAAGGTAATGGTAATGGTAATGGTAATGGTAATGGAAATGGTAATAGTAATGATAATGATAATGGTAAATGTAATGGTAATAGTAATCGCGGGGAGCATGCGGGGGAGCAGGGAGTAGGAAGAGGTGGGATTTGCGGACGGTGGAGAGGTGTTGAGGGCGGTGCGGGAGGGAGAGCACGAGACCAGTTGTCACGGTTCACACGGTTGACGATGAAATGCCGAACCTAAACTGACCTGGTGGCGAGGGAGAGCATGAGGCCAGGGGCTGTGGTGGGCAGCTGGTCGCCTGCTGACCGCGGCAGCACACACTCGAAAATTGCCCTGCTCACCTGAGGAGGGAGGGGGTGTGGGGTGTGGAGAGGAGGCAAGAGGGAGGGAAAACTGGAATGTCGGATTCATAGCAGGGAGCTGGAGCGGGGCACAGCAGCAACCCTCCTGTTCTCACACACACGCACTCACCGCCTCCCCGAGCCCCTCCCTCTCCGCATAGTGCCGCCCCATGATCCCCGCCAGCCCGGTGAACTCCATCACCACGCCACTCCCAAGGTCCGCCATGCACAGCTGAAGCTTGGGACTTACACCACAGCAAAACCTTTCCTGTTCTCAGACACATGGACTCACCTCCTCCCCCAGCCCTTCTCTCTGTGCGTAATGACGCCCCATGATCCCCGCCAGCCCGGTGAACTCCATCACCACGCCACTCCCAAGGTCCATCCGTACTGTCTGCTTTCCCTCGCTCCTTCCCCCCTACACGCGCTCACCTCCTCTTACGCACACTCACCTCCTCCCCCAGCCCTTCTCTCTCTGCGTAGTGCCGCCCCATGATTCCAGCCAATCCAGTGAATTCCATCACCATGGCGGTCCCAAGGTCTGCCATTCACAGCCTGCTCTCCTGTCCCTCAATCTTCCCACACACATACACTCACCTCCTCTCCCAAACCTTCTCTCTCTGCGTAGTGCCGCCCCATGATTCCAGCCAGTCCAGTAAACTCCATCACCACGGCAGTCCCAAGGTCCGCCATGCACAGCCGCGCTGCCTGCTGCGCCGCGGCAAAGTCTGATGGAGAGAGGTGCAGAGCGGTGCAGAGGAGTGGCGTGATGGCCTCGATGCGCTCGCTCTTGTCCAACATGGAACCCAGCTTCGCCTGGTGGGAGGGAGGCAGAAGGACAGCGGGATAGCGGGATAAGTGGGATAAGTGGGAGAGGAGGGGAGGTGCAGCACAGTGAGGAGTGGTGTTAAGGCTTCCACACGCGTGAATTTGTCCAACATTGACCCCGGCTTCGCGTGGCAGGCAGAGATAGGGGTATGGGGGACGAGGGAAGATAGGAGTAGAAATTGGGGGGGAGGGGAGGGGCATACAGTTAAGGAGTAGGAGATAGGGGAGAGGGGCATAGCGAATAGGGAAGAGGGGATATGGGGGACAGAGCACTTGAAGCTGGTGGAGATATGGAGTAGCAAGACCACAGGGCGCAGCTGTGCAGGAGCAGAGGGAGGGAAGGTACCTGGAAGGTGATGCCCTTGAGCTTCTCCCGGAAGGACTCCAGAGGGTGCGCTGTGTCGCTGTTGAAGAAGAAACGTGCATCCTCGTAGCGGGCGCTGTTGGAGGGTCAGGGGATGATGGATAGGCATAGTGAGAATAATTATGCGCCCTTATACTCCCACCCACGCCCCATTTCCGTTTCCCCTCTCTCTGCCTTCAAATCCCGACCCCATTTCCCCCTCCTCGTGGCCACCCCGACTAACCGCAGCACCGACTCGTTCCCGGCTTGCACTGCCACTTCATCCAGCCTTTTGTCCTCTCAACCCTCTTTCCCAATCTCTCTGCCTTGACCAATTCACCCCTTCCCCTTCCTCTTCCTCTTCCCCTTCCACTTGCCCACCAACCCCGCCCCACTCACCGCAGCACCGACTCGTTGCCGGCCCGCACTGCAGCTTCGTCCAGCCGCCCGTTCGGCACCGCCACAAAGTACGGGAGAAGCTTCCCGGAAGCTGCGTCCTGCACCGGGAAGTACCTCTGATGCTTCCTCATCACCATCACCAGCACCTCGGGCGGCAGGTCTAGGAAGCTGCGGTCGAAGCTTCCTAGAAGCGGCACGGGAGATTCCACCAGGTTCGCCACCTCAGCAAGGAGGTCCCCTCGTGCATCTTCCGGGATGCTTCCTCCCACCGACGCTGCCAACTCATTGCTTGCTGCCCAGATCGCGTCTTTACGCTCCTGGCGATGGCGATTGGGAGATGACGGATGGAAGCAGCCGGGACATGACAGGCAGGCAGGACACGGAGCATTCACTTTAGGCAGATTCTCAAAAGCGATGCCAAAGCAGCTGGGAGATTGGAGATGGCACATGTTGACACAACTTTATTATCTCGTGACAGGACACAAGGCGTTCATGAGATGGGAGATGAGTGGAGAAGGGAAGCAGAGAGAGGTAAGAGTGGGTGGGGAGATGCGCGCACGTGGATGGGGAGAGCACACGTGCATGCATGGGAAAGTGGTGGGGCGCACCTGAATGGAGAGGGTGATGTCGGCAGCTGCGATGGCTGCTGCATACTCCTCTGCAGATGGTAGCTGGTGTGGTGCGGTGCGGTGTGGTGAGGTGTGGTACAAGGGGGATGGATGAGAATTTTTAGAATGCGCCTAGAGTCGTCCTCTGCACATGGCAGCTAGAGCAGTGTCACGTGTGGGGATGGATGGGATGGGATGTATGGAGATGCGATGGGATGTACGGGGACGGGGATGGAAGTAGAGCATACGGAGGGACTGAGAAGGAGGTGAAAGATGGTTCAGGCGGGTGATTCAGGCGGGTGATTTGAATCAGGCGGGTGATTCAGGCGGGTGATTTGAAAGATGGTCAGAGTGATCTGAATCTTGAAGCATGTGGCAGCCCTGACTGACAGCATCGAAAGCACGTAGCTCACCTGCACTCGTGTCTCTGGCGCGTTCCTGAGCAGCCATGACTCATTGCCCGATGCCAGGCCTGCATAGGCGAACGGCACCACGGTGTGGCCGTGCATGGCCAGCAGCCACCGAATGGGACGGCTGAACGCCACCTGTGTGGAAGGGTGAGGGATGGGGGTAGGGACGGGGAGGGATACGGTGAACAAGCGAAGGCTGGGGTTGGGTGAAAGGGCACCACAGTGTGGCCGTTGCATGGCCAGCAGCCACCGCATGGGGCGGGTGAACGCCACCTGTGGTGCGGAGTGGTGAGGGGCAGGGGTGCGGTGAAGGAAGGAAGGTTGGGGTTGCGTGAAGGAAGGAAGGGCACCATCGTGCCGCCGAGCAGCCACCTGTGGGGTGTGATGACGGAGGTGGGGTAGGGTGGGACGAGGTGGGGTAGGGTGGGACGAGGCCACTGATCGAACCTTGGGTTGGGCGTGCACGGGCAGAGGGGTGATGGCTGGCTCCAGCAATCATTACAGACGGGCTGTCAAAGCCTTCTCAACTCGAAGCACAAATGAGAGGTCACCGTACTGGTTTGGAAAAGGTGAGCCCAGCAATCAACGAATCACTCGTGCTCTGCTACCCTCTCATCACTGTCATAACCACCGCGTGCACACCCACCCACCTGGGAGTTCCGCCGCGTGGTTTTAGGAAACGCAATCCTTGCCATGACCCCAGGCAGCTGCTCCCCCAGCACCGCCTATGCAGGTCTGCCCTCCTCGCTCACACTCCTACTCTGTTACCCAATTGCTTATGTCGTCTCCGCATGCCCACCTGCCAGCTGCACCCACCTGGGAGTTCCACCGCATGGTCTTGGGAAACGCAATCCCTGCAATCACGGCCGGCAGCTGCTCCCCCAGCACGGCCCACGCGGGTCGGCTCTCCTCGCTCACGCTCGCCCACACATACTCCACGCCCTTGTCGTCCTCCCGTGTGGTTACCGCCTCTGCGGTTACCGCGTTACGCTTGCAGAAGCCCTCTAGCGCCTGGAGAAGGGGGAAGACGAGGGAAAGGCGCAACTATGATTCGACACTACAGGCGCTATTGCAAATGACTGCTGAAACAGGTAGCCACATCACACAGGCATTGTGGGTATTCTGAACTTGGACTTAGCACAATGTAGACTTGTACTTTATCACTGCATAATACATAGCAACAATTGTTCAGGTTTCAAGTTCAGGATTTAGCGGTACCTTAGTAGGTTTCCCATCCTTGTCAAATGCCTTGTTAGCCGGCGGCCCCCGCACCTCCCGCTGCTCGCGCTGCTGCCACGCTGCCAGCCCCGCCACCTGCACCGCCACCCTCCTGGGCGTGCCCTCCACTCGCACTGAGCTGTACGGCAGGCGCAGGCGAGTGAGAAGAGGCGGGATGGCTGCTTGCAACTGGCAACAGGGGGTTGGGGGAATGGGGAAAGGACACGGTAGGGATGAGAATGGGCACACCTGCACAGCGACCCTCCTGAGTGTGCCCTCCGCTTGCACTGAGTCGTATGGCAGCCACAGGCGCGTTAGTAGCGGTGGGATGGCTGCTAGCAGCTGGCAGAGAGGGAAACGAGAATGGCAGGTGGGACTGACAGGTGGGACTGATAGGTGGGACTGATAGGTGGGACTGATAGGTCGGACTGATAGGTGGGACTGATAGGTGGGACTGATAGGTGGGACTGATAGGTGGGTGGGACTGATAGGTGGGACTGATAGGTGGGACTGATAGGTGGGACTGATAGGTGGGTGGGACTGATAGGTGGTTGGGACTGATAGGTGGGACTGATAGGTGGGACTGATAGGTGGGTGGGACTGATAGGTGGGACTGATAGGTGGGACTGATAGGTGGGACTGATAGGTGGGTGGGACTGATAGGTGGGACTGATAGGTGGGTGGGACTGATAGGTGGGTGGGACTGATAGGTGGGTGGGACTGATAGGTGGGACTGATAGGTGGGTGGGACTGATAGGTGGGTGGGACTGATAGGTGGTTGGAACTGATAGGTGGGACTGATAGGTGGGACTGATAGGTGGGACTGATAGGTGGGTGGGACTGATAGGTGGGACTGATAGGTGGGACTGATAGGTGGGACTGATAGGTGGGTGGGTGGGACTGATAGGTGGGACTGACAGGTGGGACTGATAGGTGGGACTGATAGGTGGGACTGATAGGTGGGACTGATAGGTGGCAACCAGCACCCCAGTGTGCACCCAGTGCACCCACCTGGGCAACAGCGCTGCTGACATCATCAGGCGGCAACTCCTCTGTACCGATCTCCACCACTAGCATCCGCCCCTCGCCCTCCCGTGCCTCCACGCCGCCCGCACTCGCCGCCCCGTCCTGCGCCGCCACGTCAGCGGACGGCCATGTGTCGCCTGTTGGCTGCGCCACGTCAGCATCCGCCCGGCCCAATGGAAAGCCGAGCTTCTCCCGCGTGTCGACCCACAATTGGGCGCACTGACGCGCCAGGCTGGCTTGGGGGGTGAGGGTGACGGGACAAGAAGGAGGACACAGGGGGAGAAAAAACGGGAAAGGAGAAAGGGGTGGGGTGGGGAGGAATGATGGGAGAGTTTTTAAGCAAGTGGGTCATTCTATAATCTGTAATCCTTTTTCATTGGTTTCCACAAGTCATGTCAACACGGATGGCTTGATCGTAGGACTGTCATGTCATGCACCCATACATACTGTGCTGCTCTTATGCACACCGCACTGCACCCATCCACACTGGACTGCATTCACCTCTTCATGAGGCCGAAAAAACAGGCTCTCTCAGTGACGTCCACGGCGCCCCTGGAATCCAGAATGCAACCATACATCCCCCATACTGCACCCATGCTCACCGTACTGCACCGCACTGCACACACCTCCTCATACGGCCGAAGAAGCGAGCTCTCTCAGTGACCCCAACAGCACCCCTTGCATCCAGAATGTTGAACGCGTGGGACGTCTTGAGGACGTGGTCAAATCTGCGGAGGCATGGGAATGGTGTGAATGAGTGGAGGGGGTGGATGGGAAGGGGTGTTGCACAGTGGAGTGAATATGGGGATAGACAGGCAGGGGGATGGCATCGCGATAACCAACAGGATGTTGAGCGCGTGTGACGTGTTGAGCACATGGTCGAACCAGCGGGGGGGGATGGGTGTGCATGGGAAGGCAGGGTGCAGCATTAAGGGATATCTCTCTCGGTGACCCCCACAGCGGCGCCCCTGGCGACCAGAATGTTAAACGCATTTGAGGTGCAGGTTTGAGGTGCAGGTTTGAGGTGCAGGTTTGAGGTTTGAGGTGCAGGTTTGAGGTGCAGGTTTGAGGTGCAGGTTTGAGGTTTGAGGTGCAGGTTTGAGGTGCAGGTTTGAGGTGCAGGTTTGAGGTGCAGGTTTGAGGTGCGGGTTTGAGGTGCAGGTTTGACGTGCAGGTTTGGGGTGCAGGTTTGATGTGCAGGCTTGAGATGCAGGTTTGAGGTGCAGGTTTGAGGTGCAGGTTTGAGGTGCAGGTTTGAGGTGCAGGTTTGAGGTGCAGGTTTGACGTGCAGGTTTGAGGTGCAGGTTTGAGGTGCAGGTTTGAGGTGCAGGTTTGAGGTGCGGGTTTGAGGTGCAGGTTTGACGTGCAGGTTTGGGGTGCAGGTTTGATGTGCAGGTTTGAGGTGCAGGTTTGAGGTGCAGGTTTGAGGTGCAGGTTTGAGGTGCAGGTTTGAGGTGCAGGTTTGAGGTGCGGGTTTGACGTGCAGGTTTGAGGTGCAGGTTTGAGGTGCAGGTTTGACGTGCAGGTTTGAGGTGCAGGTTAGGTGCAACCGAAACCCACCCAGCCCAGCCTCCCCCCAGCTCTTCCATACTCACGCGGGAATGGCCAGCTGCTTGTCAATCAAAGCCTGTGCCTCGGCGTCGTAGAGATCAAAGCGCTGCTTGACCCTCTCCGTGTCCGCCTCTTCCATGTTGAAGCAGCTCATCTCCCTCTCGTTCTCCAAGAACAGCTCCCCGTAGGTGACACCAGGGGCATAGGCGATGCGCTTGAAATGATCCACGCCCTGTCAGGAAGAGAATGAATGACATGGACGTATGACTGGCAGTGCATGTTGGTTGAAGCAGCTCATCTCCCTCTTGTTCTCCAGAAACAGCTCCCCGTAGGTCACTCCAGAGGCGTACGCGATGCGCTTGAAATGGTCCACGCCCTGTCAAAGGGAAGAGAGAATGACAGAGGGGAGTGACGGACGGGAGGCGTGTGACTGGCAGGCAGTGCATGTTGGTTGAGGTGAGGCGCATAGGCGATGTGCTTCAAGTGGTCCACACCCTGGCAAGTGGAGAGGAGTGACCCGGGGGGGTGAAAAAAAAGGAGGAGTGGCAAGGCAAGCAAGTCAAGGGAGCTCATCTCCCTCTCGTCTCGCTCTCTAACAACAGCCCCCCATACGTCACTCATGTGCATAGGCGACGAGCTCATCTGCAGGCTCATGATGACGCTCAAGGCCGTACGTGAAGGCTCATGATGACGCTCAAGGCCGTACGTGAAGGCTCATGATGACGCTCAAGGCCGTACGTGAAGGCTCATGATGACGCTCAAGGCCGTACGTGAAGGCTCATGATGACGCTCAAGGCCGTACGTGAAGGCTCATGATGACGCTCAAGGCCGTACGTGAAGGCTCATGATGACGCTCAAGGCCGTACGTGAAGGCTCATGATGACGCTCAAGGCCGTACGTGAAGGCTCATGATGACGCTCAAGGCCGTACGTGAAGGCTCATGATGACGCTCAAGGCCGTACGTGAAGGCTCATGATGACGCTCAAGGCCGTACGTGAAGGCTGCTTGCACAGAAGCATAGACGACTGCATAGGGGATCGTACCTGTAGGCTCATGATGATGCGCTCAAGGCCGTATGTGATCTCCACTGGCACTGGCAATGGGACTCATGATGATGCACTTACCTGCAGACAGGGTACATGCCACCACACTCGTACCTGCAAACTCATGATGATGCGTGCAAGGCCGTGTGTGATCTCCACTAACAAAGGTCTCGTTATGATGCGCCAGTACCGTACCACCAGCATGCCACAAAGCACGTACCTGCAGGCTCATGATGATGCGCTCCAGGCCGTACGTGATCTCCACTGACACTGGTGATAGCGGCATGCCCCCTGCCTGCATGCATGCATGGACGTAACGGTATGCACATATCATGCATGTACACATGATGCATACGAACGTATGCATATGAACATACACACACATGCATACATGTACATGCACACACGCAGCAACCGGAGAAGAGATAGCAGATTCTTTAGGTAACAGGGGAAGTTACAGCAGAAAAGAGCAAGCTCAGCTGCTGTGATTCGTTAGGTGCACCGGTAATCCTTAAAGCACAGCCAAGCAGGCTGTGTGCTGTGCTTGGTGGACAATGCTTTTGAATCTACTCAAAAACCTATGTGCAGCAGCGGAGCCAGCTCGTTGAAAACATCAAGAACAACCACCCCGCACCCATCACAACCGCACTGCACCTGCTGGAAGTAGGTGAACTGCGTGATCTCCATGCCATCCAGCCACACCTCCCAGCCCAGCCCCCAGGCGCCGAGCACAGGCGACTCCCTCCACACCCATCCCAACCACTCTCTCCCCGCACCCACCCACCTGAACCGCACTGCACCGCACTGCACCTGCTGGAAGTAGGTGAACTGGGTGATCTCCATGCCATCCAGCCACACCTCCCAGCCCGGACCCCAGGCGCCGAGCACGGGCGACTCCCAGTTGTCCTCCACACCCATTCCAACCGCTCTCTCTCCACACCCACCCACCCCAACCGCACTGCACCGCACTGCACCTGCTGGAAGTAGGTGAACTGCGTGATCTCCATGCCATCGAGCCACACCTCCCAGCCCAGCCCCCACGCCCCGAGCACGGGCGACTCCCAGTTGTCCTCCACAAACCGCACGTCGTGCTGCTTGCTGTCGATGCCCAGCGCTGCCAGGCTGCCTAAGTACAGCTCCTGCGCATTCCCAGGGTCTGGCTTGAGAATAACCTGATGGCAGTGGGGAGAGGGCAGGGGAGGCCGTGGGGAAGGGAAGGGGGAAGGGGAGCTCAGAGCCCCCTCTATGCGCTGAGCCGAGCCCCCTCTATGCGCTGAGCCGAGCCCCCTCTATGCGCTGAGCCGAGCACGGGCGACTCCCAGTTGTCCTCCACAAACCGCACGTCGTGCTGCTTGCTGTCTATTCTCAGCGCTGCCAGGCTGCCTAAATACAGCTCCTACGCGTTGCCTGGGTCTGGCTTCAGGATGACCATGACCTGCGGGATGATAAGGTGGGAGGAGAGGAGGGGGGTGTGACGACAATGCCGGCCGGCTGTCGATGCCCAGCGCCGCCAGGCTTACGAGGTACAGCTCCTGCAAGTTGCCAGGATCGGGCTTCAGGATGGCTTGAGGGGAGAGGGGAGAAGGCACGGGAAGGCACAGGGTGGGTGGGGTTGTCCCCGAAGCGGCTTTCGTCGGGGCAATGCAGTGGGGGATGTGCTGAGGGCAGCTGAGAGCAGCAGGGAGCACCTGAGCGCCCCCAACCCACATTTAACTGCGTGTGGCGCTGCACGCGGTTGGGGTTGTCTCTGAAGCGGCTGTCGTCGGAGCGCATGGATGGCTGGGCTGGGAATGCCCTGGGAGGCTATGCACCTGAGAGCAATGCCACCGCAGAGCACCTGAGAGCAATGCCACCGCAGAGCACCTGAGAGCAATGCCACCGCAGAGCACCTGAGAGCAATGCCACCGCAGAGCACCTGAGAGCAATGCCACCGCAGAGCACCTGAGAGCAATGCCACCGCAGAGCACCTGAGAGCAATGCCACCGCAGAGCACCTGAGAGCAATGCCACCGCAGAGCACCTGAGAGCAATGCCACCGCAGAGCACCTGAGAGCAATGCCACCGCAGAGCACCTGAGAGCAATGCCACCGCAGAGCACCTGAGAGCAATGCCACCGCAGAGCACCTGAGAGAGCCCTCACCTGGAACTGCGTGTGGCGCTGCACGCGGTTCGGGTTATCTCCGAAGCGGCTGTCGTCGGGGCGCATGGAGGGCTCCACGTAGGCCACGCGCCACGCCTCGGGGCCCAGCACGCGCAGGAAGGTGGCGGGATTCATGGTGCCCGCTCCCACCTCCGTGCTGCTCGGCTGTAGCACCGCGCACCCCACGCCCGCCCAGTATTCCTGCCGTGCGATGGGTTGGAGGAGGGGGGGGAGAGCGCAGGGAATGAGGCCGTTGGGACTTGAGTCGGATGCAGCACGGAGCAGAATTCCCCTGAAACACGGATTCTTTTCACGCGTGGTAACCCGTCACGTCAAAACGCCACTAAACTGTGATCAGACGTCGCGGCATTGAGTGAAACGGCGGTATCGCGCTCAATGCACACTCGACGCGGGCTATTCGTAACACTATGCGGCACCCCATTGGTAACCCGGTTACACCTGGAGTCGCTGAATTGCGTCCTGAAACGTAAGCGTTCCGGCTTTAGGAGTCTTCCCGCTCTCCCCAGCCCCGCTGCTCCGCAGCTGTTCCGCTTCCGCGCTGGTCCCATCCGCAGATACCCCCGCTGGCGCAGCTTCCGCCGATACAGATGTTGCAGAGAGCTCCGCGCGCGAAGAAAGATAATGCGCGAGACGGGAAGAGCTTCCGCGCGCGTAGCTCGGCGGAAGCGTGAGCGGGCGGCCGCGGAGGGCGCTCGGGGGGAGCACACGAAGGGAGCGGCGGAGGAAGCGCGGCGCTAACGGCTGGAGCGTTGGCGCGGCTAGTGACATTCGGGAGAGAATTCTCGACGCCATGTCGTCTACCTAGCGTCGATAACCCAGCCCTGCTAGCTCGCGAACCGCGTGATACCTAGAAGACACTACTCTGCAGCAGGGCTCGCGGGGGAACTGGCGTGATCACCAAAACCCTAGCATAGCAAGAATTCTGAGGGTGCGTAAGATCCGCTACAATATGATTTGGCTGCAAATTTGTCGCCCTTTTGGTCGACAATATTTTTCGCCAAAGTAGACCGAATGGTCTAATGGTAAACCGACCACCATCCAGCCACATTTTCAAGGTGTTGCAATCTGACAGATTTGGTGGCCGATTTACAGGCCGGTTTGCAAAAGTGTCAGATTTGCAGGTCGCACAGTTGGCCGGATTGTGCGACGGAGTCGCATGTATTGTTACTGTAGTGACACAACCCCGAAATGTGGTCTTGTTCAACAGCGCTGAAAGTGCCGTGCGCGTTGTCCTTGTGACCAGGCCCCAAAATTCAAGGGTGTTTTACCCTTTCTACCCTTGCTGTGGGCCGCTTTTCCAGGATTGCCCTGATTCAGTAAGTGTATTTACCAATCGACCCTGACTGTAAAAATGCACTTTTTGAAATACACTTTCAAAATCAGGTCTCCTCGAGAATTCCCTTGTTTCGTCAGGGTACTTTTTGAAATGCACTGAAGCAAACTTTCTTCGTGTCGTTTCTGTACAACAGGGCCCATCTGGCCACTAGCCCGAGATAGTTACAAAACCGGCCCCACCAGTCACTGTCGCGCTATCAGCTCGACAAAACAGACCACACCACGGAAGTTATGACGACCACACAACACTCGGTGCAACAACCAGTGGCAGCGCTCCTAACCCAACATCATGCTCCTGTGGCAAGCAGTCGCTGCTGCCTTTGAGCACGGTGGAGTGCGAGAGGGGGTTTAGCAAGCAGAACATTATCAAGACGTGGGGACGGAGAAGCATCTCAGACACATCACTGGGACACCTCATGCGCTGCTCTCTCCTAGAGTACAACGTGGACTGGTTCGAGGTCGCACGCATCTTCCGTAGCGACAGAAACGGGCGGCCAATCCGAGACTTCACTAGCAACAACCCAAGCGATACTCAGTTTAACCCTGCAGTAGTCCCTGACACAACTGCAAGTGGAGACCACCAGGAGGGACCCGAGAATGACTGATGCAATGTTTTGTTAGTGGTGGGTGATGCATGGTTGCATGTAGGGGAAGCAGTAGTGGCATATAGATTCTCTCTAGCAAACAGGGTGTTGCTATAAATAGCCTTACAAAGACATGACACTAGCAAAAACACACTGATTAGCACCGGGCAAAGAACTTTCCACCTTGACTGTCAGGCAAAGGGCTCTAGGGGACCCTGATGTGGCAGGGTGCCCCAAAACCAATTTTGGGCCCTGCTTGTGACACATTGAGTCGCTTGGGTACCGTATGTTGGCCAAGTCGCATAGGTACTGTAGCGCTGACGAGTCGTCAAAGTGGTCGATTCTCAATTCGTTTGCACGTCGGAAAGTTGTCAAATGCTAAACCGGCCATCAAATCGGCCATCAAATTTTTATCAAGTGGCCGGATTGTGCAAAGTTAACGAAATACCCTGCGAATGTCATCAATGTGTAACCTTCGCTGGATCCGGCCGGCCGGATTTTTCCGACAACGGATCTGACGCACCCTGAGGGTGCTTGGGTTAATCTCTATTCGGTTGCTGCGTTTTTAGCGATAAACAAGGTGATACCAGTTATTCTTCAGTGTTACGGGGGCAATGAATCGAAGTAGCGAGAATTGCACTAAGGTGTCAAAACGAGTACAAAGATGTGAGCGAAGGCATGAGCGAACATTTATACGCGAACATGCAAACGGTAACGCGATGCGTGCGAGCTAGCTAGTGCTACGCTAGCAGTGAGGCTCGGGCTAGTCCCGAAGCGTAGGCCGACACGGTCGGGCCAGTAGTGCGTGTCAGATTATGTTGTTTGTGTAGCCTGCAGTGGGGCACTCAGCAGTGAGTACAGCCCCTTAGGGTTTGCTATTTGTATCCTACTGCTTGCTAGCTCATTCACTTCCTTCTCAATTCTGTTCGTGCACACATTCTAGCTTGTACTTGGCGCCTCACTACTCCAGTGCTACTGTGGCCTAGGCTACTAAGCCTAGGCCGTGCTCCTACTATATCTGACATAGTATCAGAGGGCGGCATGTCTGCCGCCTTCCTGTGTATGGGCCCACCACCTGCTTCCGCTGCCCTACCGTCCGTCGCCCGCCCTGTGGTGTTCGGCGGCGAAACCCTAATTTCTGCCCGCCGCGCGCTCGGGGCGCCTGGCGGGTTTTCTCCTCCGTGGCGCCCGTCGTGGTGCCCTAGGGGTGGCCTCCGCGGTCCCCTCCCGTCGAAGCGCCCGTCGTGGCGCTCCCGGGGACCCGCACGGCCTCCCCTCCCGTCGCCCGTCGAGGCGACCTCGGGGACTCGCGCGGCCTCCCCTCCCGTCGCCCGTCGAGGCAACACGGGGGCCGTTCGCGGCGCCCTCCCCGTCGCCCGACGTGGCGACCACGGAGGACTTTCGCGGCGCCCTCCCTGTCGCCCGTCGAGGCGACTTCGGGGGCCGTTCGCGGCGCCCTCCCCGTCGCCCGTCGAGGCGACTTCGGGGGCCGTTCGCGGCGCCCTCCCCGTCGCCCGTCGAGGCGACTTCGGGGGCCGTGCGCGACGCCCTCCCCGTCGCCCGTCGTGGCGACTTCGGGGGCCGTGCACGGCCCTCCCCGTCGCCCGTCGTGGCGACTTCGGGGGGCCCGCGCGGCGCCCTCCTCGTCGCCCGTCATGGCGACTTCGGGGGGCCTGCGCGGCGCCCTCCACGTCGCCCGTCGAGGCGGCTCTGGTGCCCGTCGTGGCGCCATGGGGGGGGGGCGCGCGGCTCCTTTCTCGCCGCCCCTCGGGGCGCCCCTCCTTCCTTCCTCCTACCTCCTCCTCTCTCTCACCTGCAGCGGCCGCCCCTGGAGCAGCCCGTGCCTGCAGCAGCAGCCCCTGCCCCTGGAGCAGCCCGTGCCTGCAGTAGCCGCCCCAGGACCCGCGCGAGCCGCCCCTACGGAAGCCTGTCCCCCCCCCCCCCCCCCCTCCCCCGTGCTACCCATTGCTCCCATTCCACCGTATGTTCCGCGGTGGTGGGGGTGTGGGGTGGCAGGCATGGGGGTGAGAGGCGTGGGTTCTCCCCTCCTCCTTTTTCATCTCCCATTGCTGCAGCTGCCGCTGAGGGGGGTGGAGGTGTGGGAGTTGTGGGGAGTGGAGCTATGGGGGTGATGTGGGGAGTGGAGCTATGGGGGTGATGTGGGAGTGGAGCTAGGGGTGAAACTGGGGGTGTGTGTAGGGGGGTGTGGGACTGCTTGGGGAGGCTGAGAGGAGACTGTCGTCTAGTAGTCCGCAGCACCTGTAGTCCGGGGCGCTGTCCTGGTAGCCCAGAGAGCCTGCTGCCCCTGTCGCCCGTGGGTCCGTTGCTCCTGTAGCTCGTCGTAGCCCGTGAGCCAGTTACTCCAGTAGTCCAGGGCGCTGTCCCGGTAGCCACTGTGCCAGCCGCTCCTATTGCCCGTGTGTTTGCAGCTTCAGCAGTCATCTCCCATCTTCTCTCCTCTCATAGTCCCTCCTCCTCCTCACTTGCCCACTGTGACTACCACTAGCTTTGCTCATAATTGTGAACTTCCAACTGTTACTTCTTGTAATTGTGCTTAGAATGTGTGGTGACATTGTGATCCACCCTGAGCTTGTTCTGCTTTGCTTACTGTGCTGATTGCACCCCACTTTGGCTATGGGGGTGTGCCAGATTATGCTGTTTGTGTAGCCTGTAGTGGGGCACTCAATAGTGAGTACAGCCCCTTAGGGTTTGCTATTTGTATCCTACTGCTTGCTAGTTCATTCACTTCCTTCTCAATTCTGTTCGTGCACACATTCTAGCTTGTACTTGGCGCCTCACTACTCTAGTGCTACTGTGGCCTAGGCTACTAAGCCTAGGCCGTGCTCCTACTATATCTGACAGTGCGAGGTTTGGCAAAACAGTGCGCGCGAAGTTGGCGAAGTCCCGTTAGCAGTAACGGGCGAACAACGGCTGTTGCTGTACGCGATGTAGTCGGGCTCCGTAAGGAATGCCGAGAAAAATCCTTACACTACCCCCCCCCCCCCCCCCCCCCCCCCCCCCTCAAGAAGCCCCCTTCCGCTACGCGAGTGCGTGTATATCGCGGAATCCCCGGCTCCTCAGGTACACTTGCAAGGCAGGGTGGTTTTCAATGTTGGCCAGGGGCACCCAGCTATCTTTAGTTGGCGTTTGATCCTTCCAGCGAATGAGGAATTCAATCCTCCTGATTCCCGTGGGGTGGCGAATCCGATGGCTCAGGATTTTTTCGAGCTCGATGATCGACTCCAATGCAGGGCGAGTCATGGAATGCTGGCGGTGGCGAGGCAGTTGGCTGGTGGTTGGGATGTATGGGCGAAATAGGCTGACGTGGAACGATGGGCTGATGTACCAGTTGGTCGGTAAGAGTAGGTACGCGGTAACTTCCGTGATCATGTGGCTTACTTGGAATGGGCAACAGTAGCGCGGTCGAAGTTTCGGTACGTCGGGCTGTCGCAAATTTTGCGTGTCAAGCAGTACGTAATCCCCTGACTGGTATGTGACTAGGCGGCGGTGGCGGTCAGCATTGCGCTTAGCGATGACGTTTGCTTTTTTAATTGCTTCTACGGCTCTGGTGCGGGCAGCTTGCAGAATTTCGGCGAACTGCTGTGCACGTGGTGTTGGGTTGTCCGGACTCGGCGTCATGGGCACTGTAGGGTTTTTCCCGTAGTTCAAGTACAAGGGGGACTGTTGCGTCGTCGCTGACGTGGCGTTGTTGTACACGAACTCGATCAGCGGCAGCTGCTGCTCCCAAGTCGTGAGGTCGTCGCATGTGGCACGAATCAACTGCTCCATCGTCTGATTCGTCCGCTCCGTTTGTGAAAAAACCAGAACGAGAATGAAAATGACTAGGTG